AGATTTTCGGGGCAGAATAAACTAGAAAGGAAAAATTAAATGAAATGTAAATTTGAAAGTGTTAGATAGTTTGCTTCTAAATGAATATTGATGTACCAAGTTTTGAACTAGATGTCGTTGGCCATAATTCAATTTGTCACGCATTTGATGCTGGTTATTGATTTAGGAGCTCGTTTACGCTGTTAGTTAGTGGTCATGTGTCTAATCTTGATTCGTACGAGAATTTTAGATAATCCCCTATTACCATGTTTGCAACATGGCTCTCATTTTTTTTTTTTTTGATAACTCAAACATGGCTCTCATTTAGATGAATAATATTGGATTGGGTAGTTTGGAAATATTGAATTTTAGTTTTGAAAGTTAAAAAATTATTTTTTTTAAAAGAAAATTAATATTTTTGCGCATTTTTAAAAAAAAATTAAAAATTTGTCCCAAACATGCTAACTTTTTTATCTGATTTTTTAATCAAAAAGTAACTAAAATAATATGTTCCTAAATGAGGCTAATAAAGATTTTTCTAATTATCACATTTCATTAGCAATAATATACAAACATAAAATTCATAAAAAAAATTTATATATAATGATGTGGCTCAATATGAACTTTTCATTTTAAAATGAATCACTTATGAAGATGAATTTATTTACAAAGATAATATTATTACATCATTCTTATAAAAAATTTTGTATGAATTTTCTATAGAGTATGAAAAGAGTCTTTCCTTGTATAGATAATGAACATTGAAATTTTAACTTCTCGAAATGTACCCACATTAATGATGACGTTAACCACAAAATAAATTCACAGGTCCAAACTCATGCGCTTTGACAATAACAAAATTACAACAAATAATTAAGGGTAAATTATAAATATATTTCTTTAAGATTTGCTTAAAATATTAATTAGTTCATGTGATTTTAGAAATTATATCTCGCCTTTTAAAAAATCTCATAACAAACAACATTTTTCATTAATTAACCATTAAGTTAATTAATAGTTTTTAGGGAGACTTATTTATAAGTCTTTTTTCAGACATTTATGCTAGGCTAAGTCTTATGTAATTTCTTATAGAGTCTCAAGTCCTATTTCGATAGGAATGTATTCTACAAAATCTTACATAAACGTAACGTAATGTGACACCTACATAAACGTAACGTAACGTGTCACGTTATGTTTCGCAAACTTAATGAGTTTTTATTTTTTTAAATTGAATGTGAAAATGTTGCTAGTTTATGTTGGTGTCACGTTACGTTTCATATAAATATGATTTATGGTAACATTCAATTTCCTATATAGGAAATTGAATGTTACCATAGATCATAGGTGTCACGTTACGTTTATGTAGGTGTCACGTTATGTTACGTTTATGTAGATATGATCTATGACAACATTCAATTTCCTATAAATCATAGGTGTCACGTTACGTTTATGTAGGTGTCACGTTACATTACGTTTATATAGATATGGTCGATGGTAACATTCAATTTTCTATATATGATTTTATTATTATTTATAATATTAACAACTAATATTGAGGGTAAATGTGTCAACAAACTTCTTGACTTATGAGAACATAAGTTTTTTAGTAAGACCATATGTAGCATAAGTCTCCTAATAGGACTTATATATAATTTTCTCTAATTTTTAATGATATCGATAATATATTTCAATTAACACTTTTAGTTTTTTTTTTTTTTTTTAACTTGAAATTTAATTCCACACAAAACACAAAAAACACAAGTAACAAGGGCATACCCCTGCACTCCAGAAACAAATGAACAGATCAAAAACCAAATCAAACAACAAAACAAAAGAAAGCTATAAAATCTATTCAAGTCTGCAAACTGGAGTAAGTCAGCCCCAATCAATACAGATTTGCCCATTTTGCAAATAATTCTTAACTCTCTTGAGAGAACAAGCTCTAGCTCTAACTTCCCGGACCATTCCACCCACTATCACTTCCTTGTGATTAACGGACAGTAAAAATTCTCCGAGTAGATTTATTGTTGTATAGGAGGATAGTTAGAAATTTTATTTCTTCCGTTAATTTTGTTAAATGAAAATTCTGACTATGGACTATAAGACTTCACTTAACAGATATACCCATAAAGAAGAGATGCTGAATCTGAAATCTGTGTTTAATCACCCTGCTAGTGCTACAGTAATACTGTGTTTGGTTGGGGATTTGAGGAGGGATTTGGAAAAGAAAATGAAAAAGATAGGTGAAATGTGAATAAAATATGCCTATATTTCACCTAGTTTCACACACTTTTTTCCTTTCCCTTTCCAAATCCCTCCCCAAATCCCCTAACCAAACACAGCGTAAGGGACCTTATTCTTTTGGAGCAAAATAAATGGAATGTCCCTCTAAAAAAATTCTCTCTTTCCTCCCATTGTTTTGCTCATTTTCTCTCTTCCTTATTCTCTTTTTCTCTTTCACAATTTGAATTTCCTGATAAACACATATGAGGCTTCTCTCATTCAGGGGACTTCTCTGTTAGCTCAGCTTATCACCTTCTTATTAATCTGAAGCATCAAGAGATGTTTCCCTCATCTTCTCCTGCTTCATCTCCTTCTTCATCATCTTCTTCTTTTCCCTCTTGTGATTTAGTGCCCTCCTCGACTATTCACACACCTATTGGCCTAATTTTATGTGGGACCAACTTTGGTCTATTCCAATTCCTTTCAAAATACAATTTCTTCTGTGGCAAATCTGCCATGATTGTCTTCCTCTTAGTGAGCTTTTTTCATGTGTCTGTTGGAAGGGAGATATCTTTTGTCCTTTTTGCCATAGGCGAATTGAAACCTCAAGACACATTTTTCTGCTTCGCGATTTTTTTAGATCAATTTGGCTTGTTCTCGTTTGTCCTATTGGTTGGGTTTTTTGTTTAATTTTGCCTTCAATTGCAAGCCTAAACAATTGGACATTCTACTCCAAATTTCTTGCATTTTGTGGACCATTTGGGATGCTAAGAATAAAATTGTATTTGATTTGAAAAAGCTTTGTCCCCTGCAAGGTACGCTTCAAGCGAAAATCCTTTACTCTTCCTTTCACAAGCACACACTGTCTCTGCCTCGGCTCATATTTCCTCTGCTCACCAACTTTCAGTTGAACCTTGCATTCAACCCTCTTTTGCACCATCACCTAAAACCTTTAACTTCTCTAAATTCAATGCAACTTGTGAAGATTCCAATTTGGCTGTCCTTGACATTCACTGTGGAGTTGTTTTCAACAATAACGATCTAGCAGTGGGGATTGGTGTTGTGTTCAAACTAGTAACTGTCTTGTGGGTTCTTTGTTCAAGAAAATTATTGTTCAAAGGCCTTGTGCTCACATTGCAGCAGCCATTGCTGCTGTCAAATGGGCCCAAGAGCACTCTTTTGTAAATGTCAATATCATTACTAACTCTCAATCTTTCTTTCAACAGCTGGAGAACAGTAAAGAATTGCAAGCTATAGCAGTCCCTTTTTTTTATTTCTGCATTTTAGTTCGCTCCTTTAATATCTGCAGAATCTCACTAGATGGTAGCTGGTTGATCTCACAAGCTCTCCGTTTGGCTGGTTTTTCTGCTTTTTCAAGAATTCATGCAGAAAGCAATACTTCCTTCCCTTTTGATAATGGATGAAGAGGCATTTAGCTATGGAAGCTTAGCGACTATTTCTAGTTTTTATTTGTATTACAGTATATGCAATTTTGTTTTGGGGTTGTTTGATTTTGTATGAATGCTTAAACTCTTGTAATCTTTATCGCTATCAATGAATTTCTCTTTTTACCCAAAAAACAAAAAAAAAATACCCATTATATAATTTTATGAGTATCTTTACTGCTTAGGTTGTGAATCACTTCATCCCAAGTCCAAACAAAAATAAATCCGAGATGAAAACATTTAGCCCCAACTTGAAGGCAAAAGAACAATGTCAAGACCTTAAAAATTTTCAAATGGCATTCGAATTACTCGGGTTCAACCTGTCCAACATTTGGATTACTGGGGTTTAACCTGTCGAAATTACAACTCTATATTTGAATTTTTGAGATTTCTTGAGAGGGCGATCCCCACCGGTGCTCACATGAATCCTCCAAGTATTCAAAGCATCACAAGTTCTAACATTCAAAATGGATCAGAATAAAGTAATTCAGCTAAGTAAGAATCCGATTTACCCAATTTCCCACAAACCCAATTTCCCACAAGAATCTCGCTATTTTGGTGAAAAATAGTAATAAAAATAATAATAATTAGGCTCATAATATTTAAAATTTTATCATTTTTCATTAAGGATATGCTTGAAAAACATTAACACAGATTTTTTTATTACTAGTAATGACATTAAAAAATAATTAGGCTCATAATATGGTACTAACGTTAACATTCACCTCAAGGCATTTGAATGGCAAGAATATTGAGGGAGAATGAAAATGTGATGTCAAATACCATGATTCCAACATTTGGAATGGATTAGAATGGAAAAATAATTTCTGATTAAATATTTATTTCAACACCTCACTTCCCCATGGTAATCTCACATTCCTAGAGAAATGTTAGGTAAGTGTAAATATATTAATACCACCTCTGCCCAAATTGTTTATTCAACAGAGAAAAAAATAAAAAAATAAATAATAATAACAACAACGAGAACTTAAAAATAATGTATTTTCATACCGAATTTTTTTTTTTTACCACCAATTAAAATATCTCTTTAAATACTTTTAATTTGTACCAAAAAATATATATATATATATATATTGACAGCAAACATACATTAATTTTAAGTCCTCATTTTCTAAGGCAGACAAATAATTTGGGACCAAAGTAGTAATTGGGTCCACAATTTTTAAAATTTTGTAAGATTGCTAATGAAACCAAAAACTTGAATAGTATTTGACACAAATTTCACTGTCTCATTCCTCAATTCTTGTCATTCAAATTACAATTTTTTCTTGGCTGACTCAAAACAAAAGAAAAAAGGGAAGTGCAAATAAAAAGACATTTCTGGAAATCATAGACTACATAGAGACCAAAGAGGACACCAAATGCATAACAAAATTGCAGGTGCACTTTTACCAATTTATTGTTCATCCATATCTTATGACCATACATTCCCTCAGGAGTAAAGTCATGTTTCATAAAATATCAATGTGTATACTCAAAAATAGAAGATTGACATATTAGAGGAATATGGTTTCTCACTCTTCAGTTAATCAGTGGTTTCTCTAAATTTAACTGCATATCAGGTCCACCCTCACTGAATCTAGAATACTCTTCCAGCACAGGAATACCTAGCTCTGAGCAAACAAACTGAACTATGTTACTAGTAACACCACCAAATGACATTTTGTTCAGGGTTACAGCGATAGCAAACCTGTTTTTTATATCACAATAGCCCGTTGATCCACCCATGCCCGAGTGCCCAAAGCCAACAAGGGACCCGTCTTTGGCATAACACTTCTTAAACCCTAGTCCAAATTTCCCATTTGGGAGAATCAAATTCTCATATTCTCCAGCACCCAAGAACGCATCATGAATTCTGGGATTAGTAAAAATCTTATTGGCTCGTGGACGACCACCAGCCTCTGCAGCGGTTTCTATTGTAGTTGGATTATCATTAACATCAAGTCTAATGTAGTCACTGCCAGCCCTTCTACTATGACCACTGTCATTCAAATTACTGGGGTTTTGCATCGGTCCAGCTAGGTCGGCTGTTATCAACTCCTTACTGTTGCCCCATTTCAGCTTCTTGTTGGCTTTCACGGAAGAGAATTTAGGTTGATGTGGGTGGCTTCCAAGTGGCGGCTTGGAAGAAGAGGAATGCGGTGGTGGGACAATACCACCATCTACTAGGGTTGCATAGTAGCGTGCTAGTGCACGGGCTGAGCAATGTCCATTAGCAGCAGGTATAATAGCACGGCGAACATTTAGAGAGTTGAACATAGCTGGAAGAGTGGTTGCAAGCTGTGAAATGTCCTGCAGCTGGAAGGTGGAGGGCAGGTCTGGACGGTCGCTCATGTTTGAGAGCTTCTTGAGATCTTCTGTGTCCGACATGAGTGTTGCCAGTCGAGATTCAACACCTAGAGGGAAGCTAGCAACATTATTGTGACAGCTATTGACAAAAGGTTAATTGCAAAGTTATAACTACAAAAATACCCTAAATAGCATAAATTCAATACTAAAGGGCAGTACAGGCAAAATATTAATCAGCCAAAGTGAGAGGTGCAAGTTGAATCCAACACTGATATAAGAGACCAGAAAATTAATGGAACAGAGAATAAATCATGCCTGGAGGAATTCCAATATACAGCTCCCCTTCAATGTTCAGAGGGTGAATGAAGGCTTCTTCAAGAATTTCCTGAAACTTCTTCCCAGATGCATGCTGTTCAATATAATCACATTGTCAAATAAGTTGAAAGGCAGAGCAACATAGAAGATAGAACCTTCTTATTCCACATGAAAGATAGAAGCTTCTTCTAAAGAGATTGACAGAGAAGTTCACTAAAGTTGGCCTTTCTATATTTTCTTCTAGTTTTGTCAACACAAAATGGAAAACCAATAATGATTTGCATGCCAATATTACATTACATTCACTAGACAGATAGCACCAAGGCCCTATGAATAACGATATTGATAGTATCTTCCAAATCACACACTCCTTGGAAAAAAGCTCTAATATCTGTCAGCATTGCAGGAGATAGCACTCTTATGACCAACACTCTTCTGAGTAGTGGAAGCAATAATAGTCAATGATAGATTCAGTCTTATTAGGGTATTCTATTTTCGTTTTTTAAGTAATGGTAAATTATACTTTCACACGAATTTCACTTTGGTACCTCATCGTTTAATTGCAACAATTAAGTTCTCAAACTTCAAGTCACGATTCAATGTGGTCCTCTTGTCAGTTACAATTAAAATTTGGCAATGCTAACGTGAGGGCCACGTGAGCACATTTAGGGGCATTTGAGAGGAAAATATGTAAGGAAAATTGTACATTTCACTCTCTAACTTTCACTCAAATTTTAAGTGGTGGAATGATGGTGGATGGGGCAAGGGGTAGGGGGCCGTGGGTGGTGGGAAAGGGTGAGGGGGTGGTCTGTTTCAATGGCGGTCAATTTCAAAACAAGGAAAAAAGGACATAAAAGAGGGCATTTTGTTCTTTATCTTTCATCTGTTGGTTTTTTGCATAATATAAAGAGCCATGTGAGCATAACATAAGCATCTTCCATCAATTTAGCAAACACCAGTAAACAAAAGGGTCACATTGCAACTTGACTAAAAGTGTGAGGGGTTGACTGCTAGAATTAAAAAATAGAGGGGCAAAAGTGGGATTCAGTGTAAAGCCTATGTGCAAAATGTAATTTAAATGGAGTCGGGTGTGGGTATGTGTCCAAGTAACTAATTCATCTAATTTAATATCCAAGGACAAGGGGTATGGTTAAACTTGAATTACAAAATATGCTTGCTAGGTGATGGTCCAACTACACGTGGAACACACATCCCATACCCTTATCCAAATTTATATTATTATTTAGTCAGATTTTAAATAATACCATTAATACCAAGTTCAACATTAATACCATCCTCCCACAAGGCAAATATCCTCAGAAAACTCTCCATAACAAGATAGACAACATTCCTCAATTTCTAATTTGTGTATAATTCTGTCCATACCAAATGAAATAAACTTAGTTTCGATGACAAAAACTAAACCAGGAGTTTAGTCCTCAGTCCGCATCAATCATAAAGTCTACAATCCCAAGCTCCAACATTCCCAGCTTAAGACATTTATTGCTTCCATCAGGGTTGCATTGCATCTTCTACTAATGAAACCAAAATAGATCACATGACCAGTGACCAATAGCTACAAATTTCATTCAGATGGGTCATTTGACAAGTCATCATCACTGTCAATGTGTAAAATTTTTATTTATACTTAACTCATCAAAATCAACTTTAACATGATACACAGTAACTTTATATATTTTAAAAATTACACAAAAAAACAGAAATTGGGATTTTAATACTATTGCTTTAACAAAAATCAAGCAACGATCTACTCATGTTATCGTTAAATGATAAACCCATTGCTTATGCTATCCTATGAAGCATAGACACAGACATGGGACACGGATATGACATGACACGGACACGGCAAATTTCAAAAAAATAGGACATGGACACAGTTCGGACACTTCACAAATAATTATACGTTGATATGATATTATCTAGGAATATATTATATTATGTAGTTATATATGTGCATAGTGCATAGTATATACAAACTTAAATAATAAGTTTATACCAAGTAAATATTGTATTTAATTCTCTTACATGAATTTTCAAACTATTGGACCATGGTAGTTAAAAATTAGACAAACTATACGAAACATATATAATTGCAACATTTCCCTCATCTTCCTAAAAAAAAATTTAAAAGAATTATACATTACGTTATTCTTAAGAATAATACATTATTCTTAAAAATGTAAGATTTTTATGTCATTCTCAAATTTTGAAAATCATACGTTAGCAAATGTCTAAGTGTTAGTCTCATGTTTATATTTTAGTGATAGACATGGCCAAGAGAAGTGACGGACATGTTCTACAATGAGTGTCGAACACGTATCAGACATTACATTTTTTAATTTAATTAAGGACACGTAAAAAAGAGTATTGGACACATTTTCGAGTGTCCGAGGAGTATCGGTGTCCGACACAGGCACGTTGCCATCTTAGAAGTGTCCATGCTTCTTAGATGCTATCATACACTTCTTTTTTGATATATGTAACCAAACAATCATTCATCCAACTTTCACTCATTCGTTTACACAATCAATTCTTTATGAATTTTATGATGGTCAATTTGTGAAATCCATAATTTTTTTTCTCTGTTTCCTATTTCTACTGGAGTCACTTTGTGAAAGCCCAAAAGTTTTAGATAGAAACCTACACATACAATAAAAATATTTGAACATTCAGTGGTCACCTGGCACAATTGGTTAAGCCTTGGTTCCGCCAATGGTCACAGGTATATTTGAAGTACAAATAACATAAACTAAAAAACTTTCAAACTTCATGCATGAAGCAAAGAAAATGGCATACAATTTCAGTAAACTAAAAATTGAAACAGTTGCAATAATACCTCAATAACTCCACCGCATAGCCAGCCAAAAGACAGATAATGATACAACTGCTCATGGCCAGGTTCAGTCTCAGGGACTGACATTGCAATTCGACTCAAACACTCATCCCAATCAAGCATTAGAAAAGGGTTTTCCCGTGTAAGGTTGGCCAATGCATTATGCAGACCAGATGTATGGTTAAGCACATGATGAACCTACAAAATAGAAAGTATATTAATAAAGAATTAAGTATAAAATGTTCTTCTGGTTCCTGAGGTTAATACGAAAAAGAAAAGAAAATTTTAAAATACATTTCACACATTCAGACTGGTAAAAGCTACAAGCTTTGCTCCACACTATTACAGTTTCTTTGTTTCATGGACTTACAATTTAGGCGCACCAATCAGTCCTATTAACTAAACTTATTTACCTACAGGTCCTGAACGATAAATTTATTCATAAAAATAAGAATAGGACTTAATGGGTAATAAGGTCCAAAAGTAGGACCTACTGGTAATTTACCCTAAAATTTAACTTTCCGAAACGAAGAACATAAAACCTCAGATCATGGCTTTTGTTCCTGTAATGTTTCCCTCACTTTTTCTCAGCAACCAAAGAAAGGTGAAAGGAAAAAATTAAGAAATTAAATTGACAGAAAAGTTCATTAGCAATTGGAGCAAAACATTACACCTTTATTAGATCTTTTCCATTTGATCTGAATTGTGGCCAAACATTTGCGACATTTTCTTCAAGCTTCAGTTTCCTGCTGGATCACAAAGAAACAATTACTCCCTTTTCTTCAATTTGACATGTAAATCAGTTATTTAGTGTTAAAAAGGTTTAAACAAACAAAAAAATACAGACGAAAAACAGCCATAAATTATACAATTTGTGTGAATAGCATATGTAATGAAAATCCAGTAGTCTATGATCAGGAATGAACTTTTGATCATTGTTTGCATGGCTATTCAATTTGTGCCAAGGACAGGGTACATTTCCCTAGTTTAGGAGGTCGAAAGCCCTCCGCTGTGGCTTCTACAATATCCTGAATTTCTGTGGCACAACCCACTTTGCTGCCACAAAATGGGAGTGATGCAGCACGATTAGAGACAGTGCTGTACAGACTTTAAAGCTGACTTTCTGTGGGTTTTTATTGTGATTTCATGCTGAAAAGCAATACCCTGTTTGGTTATCCAGTTTTCAAAATCAGATTTTGAGTTTTCAATTTCGTATATTTTTTATTTTTAGCGGATTTTTTTAATATTTTGGTCAAATTCTTTTATTTTTTGGATGCATCTAATGTAGAGATGTACTCAAAAAGTAAAATATTTGTGAAGAAATCTTTAAAATATTCAATAAATACAAAAATACAAAAATTCAGTATATATATTTTTTTTGTATTTATTGATTTTCTTTTTTTTTATGAAAATCCGTTAGTAGTTTGAACTCACCCCTCTTGAAGGAGAGAAGATTGTCCAATAACAAATTGGAAACCAGTCCCAACTCTCTAAGCACTTTGGATGTGAGAGGATTGCCAATGGAATTTCAACTTTCTGATCACTTTGACAAGTAAATGTTTTTCTACTCCCGACAAGTAAGTGTACTACCAAGAACGTGAAGCTTTTCACAGCTTTTCTCTTTCTGAAATTGCACTTATGTACCTTCCCTTATCTAACTGCCAAAACACCCTTTTCAGATCTAACTGCATCAAACCTAATACTGCCATGAATCATGATTTGTCTAACTGCTTCACAGACAAGTATTGTGTGCCCACACCTCTAGTGTGCTGTAAATTATGGGCATCAGACATAGAAATATAAGTTTTTCCAAATGATCATATGGAAAATCTCTTAGTTGCCTAAATTTCATCCTTAGGATAATTCTTCGAAGAGAATAAATATTGAAAACCATCAGGCATAATGCAAAAGTCATACAAACCTTTTCATCAGATAGAACATGTGGATATCTACAAGTGAAAATTAATCAATATCTATGCCAATACAACAAGAAATACACTCTTGGCATCAGATTAACATTTAAAACAACAATAGGCACACATTATAATGTCTTATCCAAGTAATTTTCTGTTCGCTCTATTATTTCTAACTAGAGAACAATTTTTATCATTGAATGGATCACAGTGTCACCATTGCGATTCATTCACATGGCACAAGTAGTGGCATGATGATGGAACTCATCACGATGTTCACAATGTAGATGAAAATTTAAAACCACCAGGCTAAGCAAACAATCATGAGCAAGTTCAGGTTGACAAAACATTAAAAATAATAGGGTAAATTACAAATACACTCCTTCAAGTTTGATTAAAATACGATTTGCCTCTTGTGGTTTTGGAAATTGCATCCCGCCCCCTAAAGTTTGTAATTTTATAACAAATGGTCGCTTTTATTAAAAAATCATCAAGTCAATTAACAGCTTTAATGTTGTTAGAAATTTATTTCAATTAATAATTCAGGTAATTTCATCATTGTATAAGAGAGTAGTTATGAATTTCATTTTTCAATTAATTCTGTTAAATAAAAATTCTGATAAAGGGTATTTGTAATTTTCCAAATCACAGGGAGTAATTCATATTTTAAGCAAATTTGTAATTTGCCCAAAATTTTTGGAATATTAATATTTGAAACAAGGCCATTCACGGGCAAATGTCACAGGAAAAGATGATAATTATTTCGGTGGGGAAAAAAAAAAGTAAGAACATTTTTTTATTTATCCACATGCATCAGGTAGATTTTTGAATATGAAATTGGGAAGAGGTAAATAGTATTACATACCCATTATCAACCAGCCAATGTAACATTCCCGCTGTAATACCCTTTGTTACAGAAAAAACAGGAAATAAACTATCAGGCTGAACTGGACGAGGATCATATCTTCCAAGAACTCCAGCAGCAGTATCAATGATCACTTCTCCATCTTTGTAGGCACATACCTTAACAGAGAGAAAATTTAACAAATAGAACAGTCAATTTGTAACTTTTGTTAAAAATATATTGAACCAAAAAAATTATGTAAAAGAAAAAGAACGATATAAAAACTGTAATGGTTACTGGATTCACTTCTACGTGGTTAGGGTCAACTACTGACATTTTTGGACTGAGCCTTTTATATATCCATGTCTTTTTTTAATAAGCTCAAAAAAAAGTGATCGAGAAATTTAAAGAATTTAGAGATGAGTATTTCTCTTTGTTTTTTCTTCTTTTCATGACATGATTCATACACAATATTCTTCAGTTATTAAATGCTTTCGTTGCTAAGAAGCACGGACATGGATACGGACACGAACACATGACACGACACAGACACGCGGACACGTAAATTTTCAAAAAATGCAAGATACGACAGGTTACGTGGGGGACGTGCAAAAAATATAATTTTATATATTTATTATATGTCATTTTTAAATGTTTAATATGTATTTCATGTCAAATATTTAATTTTATCACATCTATTAACTTTAGGTATGTTATTTAGTCCTTAGCATGTCCCCAGTGTGTCCCTATGTGTCCCTAGTGTGTCCCAAGTTGTTCGAATGTGTCCCACATCGCTTGGAGTTGCCCCATCTGTGCTGGTTATAAGGCTCTAGTTTCTCTCTCCTTAACACCTGGGTTTTAAGGAGAACTGTGGACTGGGCTTTTCAATTTGGTATTAGAGCTTGGTTGGGCTTGTGATTGGTGTGCCGATTGTCCGGCTACTTTATGCTTGTAGTCCAGGAGGGTGTGTTGGAATGTGTCCCACATCGTCTGGAATTGTCTCATCTGTGTTGGTTATAAGGCTCCAATTTTCCTCTCCTTAACACCTGGATTTTAAGGATAAGTATGATATCAGAGCTTGGTTAGGCCTGTGACTAGTGTGCCATTTGTCCAGTTATTGTATGTTATGGTCCAAGAGGGGGTGCTGGAATTTGTCCCACATCGCTTGGAGTTGTCCCATTTGTGTTAGTTATAAGACTCCAATTTCTCTCTCTTTAACACCTAGGTTTTAAGAAGAAGTGTGGGCTAGGCTTTTCAATTTGGTATCAGAGCCCATTGAACCCTAGGCATGTTTCTCTATGGAGAACTCTCTCACTCCACATGTTTTTGTTATCAAGGTGTTTTTCCCTCTTCCTTAAGTTGATCACTAGTTTACTGATATGGTAAGCAAACTTTACGATTTTTACTTATTTTGGGGCCGGTGGGTTTGGTAGCATTATTTTGTGATACACTGAGTTTTCCGGCTACTTCTCTACCCTTTTAAGGTCCTTGTACTGACATGGTAAGCACATATTTGGTTCTTTTTTATTTTTGGGCCACTGGTGTGTTCGGTAGCATTCTTTGTGGGATGCCATTTTTCGACCTTTCTGTTTGTGGTGATTTGTCACTGTTTTGGCCTTGTTGCTTTCTCTCTCTCGGTTGGTTTCTTTTATTGCCATCATGATTGATTCAATGCACATTTCTCTACTGCAAGATGTTGACTCTTTGCTATGTTCATTGAGGTTGTCATTGAAGGGAGTTATTACAATTGTTGTTTTTTGGCAATTTCATTGTAGTTGTTTGTAATGATCATACTATTTTTGAGTTCAAGTTGGATACTTCACTTCAACCGTTCCGTGTTCTAACTTGAGGGGGAGTGTTGGAGATAAGATTATATTGTCAAAGATATCAGAAGATATTAGAGTATATGGAGATCCCATGATTTATGTTTATTATGATTTTTTTTTTATCTTTGATTTATTTCAATTCCTTAACTGAAGGGATTTGATTGTATCTCCCACTATGTATATATATATATATGGTGTATAGTATCAAATCGAGTGAATGAAAAATATGGCCCTTTAGGTAGGCCAATATGGCCGAACCATGTTAAATTTTTGTGTTCTTACTTTTCTCTTTTCTATCTCCATTATCTCTATATTCAACCATATTGCCTTAATACAAAATTCAGCTTGGCTTTTCAATTCAAGTGTCCTAGCGTGTCTGACACGTGTCGGACACTCGTACATGACCTCCGGAGAGGTGTTCGTGCTTCATAGTTTCGTTGTGATTCAGTGAGTAATATAGAGATACTGAGTTTCCTCATTAAAATCTGATGGGACCATTCAACAACCTTCTTGTGCAGAAACTCCTGAACAAAATGGTGCGGCTAAGCGCAAGCAAAGACACATAATGGAGACTACTCGTTCCCTATTCATTTCTGCATAGTCTCCCAATTCTTTTTAGGGCGAGGTGAGGCTATTCTTACAGTTCTTCATCTTATTAACCAGATATCTTCTAAGCTCAATTCTAGCATTTCTCATTTTGAACGTTAATGTGGTAATCCTCTCAATTACTTCTCACTACGTGTCTTTGATTGTACTTGTTTTGTTCGTCTTCCTAGAGCAACACACACTAAGGCCTAGTTTGGGAAGACTAAATAAGTGCACTTTTTGACTTTTTATGAAATATGGGTTGGATTTGAAGTGATGTGTTAGAGAGGTGATGTGACTTAAATAAGATGATGTGACTTAAATAGGATAGTGTCTTTTTGACTTTTTGTCTTTTTTTAATCATGCCAAACTTGGCTTAATACTAACCGAGAGGGCAATTGGTAATGCTACTTTAAACCTTAGGGAGGGGATTGTAATTTCTAAAATGTAAGGGGTGTCAGGTAATTTACCCAATGAGGGTAAAATTAGTATTTAAAAAAATTAAATTGCTGAAGAAGGAAATCTATAATGAAACTTTAAACTTCAAGAGAGTAAATGTAATTTTCAAAAGGTGAGGGAGAAACTATAATAAACATAAATCTCAGGGGGTGTCAGTGTAATTTACCCTAAATTTTTTTAAATTTTACTTCTAAAATTGTCTAATTTTCTATGGATCTAATTAGCAATTGGCCAAGTTTGGAAAGTTGCAATAACAACACAAAAAAAAAAAAAATTAAAAAATTAAAAGTCAAAAATTATACAAAAAAAGAGTCAAAAATTATTTTTCCTCTCTACTTTTTAAATTTTTTTTTTCTTAAAAAAATTTAAAAATCATTACAAACATACTAATTTTTTTATCTTATATTTTAAATAAAAAATCAAAATAATATTAAAATAGTCTATTATCATGAAGTAATGAACTAGAGTAACCTGAAATTTAAACAAAACTTCATTTAAAATCATTTCAATAAAAAAACATGTAAGATCATATTTTAGTAAAAAAAAAATTTGTCCTTTCCACCTTTAGCATATTTAACTTTAGTGATTTAAGTAGCTAAATTACTAAAGTGGTGTTTGTTTTGAAGGATTGGGACATGGAATTTTACTATTAGTCTGAACTAATAATTCGTTGTTTGGTAGTCAATTTTTCCTCCAGATTATTAGTCTTATATTTGTTGGATTGTTGTATCTCATAGGGAGGTGAGATAGAAATCATGGAATAGCTTATCTCATAGGATTAGCTTATGAAATTACATTTTCGACCCTCTTGTATTTACTATCTTTTTTTAATGTTGTTAATTTAAAATTCTATATTAAATAAAAATATAAATTATAAATTTAATTTAATTAAAAATAATAAATTAAAAATTATGGCCTTACAAATTAAATTTTTTTAGTGTTGTTAAAAAATTAAATTTATATATTAAATAAAAAAATTTTTAGTGTTGTTAATTTAAAATTATATATTAAATAAAAAATATAAATTATAAATTTAATTTAATTAAAAATAATAAATTAAAAATTATGGCCTTACAAATTAAATTTTTTTAGTGTTGTTAAAAAATTAAATTTATATATTAAATAAAAAAATTTTTAGTGTTGTTAATTTAAAATTATATATTAAATAAAAAATATAAATTATAAATTTAATTTAATTAAAAATAATAAATAATAAATTATGGCCTTATAAATTAATTTTTTTTAGTGTTGTTAAAAAATTAAATTTACATATTAAATTAAATTATTTTTTTAGTGTTGTTAATTTAAAATTATATATTAAATAAAAAATATAAATTATAAATTAAATTTAATTAAAAATAATAAATTAAAAATTAAG